ATGGAGTGGCCAGTTCCAGCGCCGAGGACAGCGACCAGGCCACCAGCAACACCCACCTTCAAGCCGCCGCCACCCCCGACACAAGCGGCAACCGCACCGGCAACACCACCTGCAGTAACGCTGAACGCCCGCCAACGCCGGAACCAGCAGCGGAAGCGGGACTACAAGTCCAAGATCCAGCAACAGTCCCAGCAACACCGCCTGGAAAAACCGGCACCGCCCGTAACCCCAGCCCCAGAGACGGTCCTGTCACAGCCAGGGCCAGCGTCCCCGCACCTCACCGTGGTCACGGTACCGGAAGTGACACACACTTCCGGAGCGACCGGAGCCACGGATCATCTAGCGGCTGCCACCCCTCAACCCGAGGATATGGAAATATCCCCGGAGGAGGAGGCACAGCTGTTAGGAGGTACGGGCACACACCTGGCTGACCAAGAGGACATGGACGTCAGTCTACTGTACTACAGCCCCCCCACATCGCCCAAACGCGATTAGACACCGCCAGGGCTACGTCCGCTGAACACAGCCGGAAAACGTACCCTCGGACAGGTGTCTACCACAACCACCATCCACCCACTGACCCACCACAACCACCCACCACTCATGACAACGCAGACCGCCGGTAACGGCCGGAAAACCAACGCCGTTGGCGGTTTGGGGGGGGAGTATGACGCGGTCCAGCCCAAAATCTGTTTGAATTCAAACAGCCTTTGCGCGGAAGCCGCGCCGCGGCTTCTCAATCAAACCGCCAACCGACGACGGACGACGCCGGCCGTCCAGCGAACCGGATTGTGAAGGCGCGCTCTCTCGTCTTCGCGATACCGACCTGGACACACGACAGCGGTACACACACGTTCTGTGAAATTCCGAACTCTAGAAACTGTCAGAAAACATTGAATGTGTTCTTTTTGTTTTTTTGTTTGACTCGCGTCGCTGACAATAATAAACGGTTAATCACCTCTCAGTGCGACGTTCGTTGTTTTTATTTTATTTTCTATTCTTTTATTATACCGTCTGTTTGTTCCGATCCGACTGTCCCCGTCGGTCACCACCACCTCATCAACATCCACGCGGCACAAGACAAGTCCGCGTCAACATTACCCGTTACTTATCAACTACAAGATTATATGGGTAAACCTATAGCTGGCTGTTTTTACTCTGAAGAAATATACAAGACCAATTTCCCAAACGAATATTTAATTGAAAAAATTATACGTAAAAAACAGAATCAAATGTACGTCAAGTGGTTAGGATTCGATAATACACACAATAGTTGGATAAATACACGTGATGTTAAAAAATAGTGTCAGTCGTTTTATAACTATGAACGTGTTCGGTAGTTCTCAGGCGAGCGATGCTAAAAGAATTATATCAGATATTCAAACAAGTAACAAAACAATTGTAAACGATGTGAAACTTCAACAAAAAGAAATTGATACTCTGAAAAGTAATATTGTTAATCTACGTGATAATATACAGACAAGTAATAAGTCTATATTTGATTACGAAAATCGTATGTCAGAGCTAATTAATAAGTATGCTGATAGTAGTACCACAATCGCCATCCAGGGTCAAGACGTGAGCCAATTAAAAGCGGACGTGAGCCAATTAAAAGCTGAAATAAATCGTATAACCGGAATATTTGATGAAAATTCATTGCCGAATCACGGAACATATATTTCAGAATTAAATTCACGTTTGATAATCCTGGAAGCCAAAAATAAAAAATAGTTGGTTAGAGTCATGCAGTATTGAAAAATAATTTCAGTCGAGCTGTATACACCATCGTGTTTTGTAGTCCTATGTCAGTTTTATAAATATTTAAGTGTTATAAAATATTATATACATACATTTAATATACCTGAAATTATGTCGTCGGCCATCGCAGACATGCAATGCGTTCTTGGAGCAGGCAATAAATATTTTATTAAAGAATTATCTATAGTGGACACTGAAACATGGGCCAACCAACACTGGATTTTTAAAAATTCTAAATCTAGACAGGACAACAAGATTCGAAAAACTAATAAGTGGTTGGAACATAACTATCATAAACTTACTATAGAATATGGTGATGTTGAGTATGAAGAACTAAGTAGAATATTGAACTCTTTAAAGTTCTCATGCATTTACGTCAAAGGTGAGCAGAAAAAACAGCTGCTTACAGAATTTATACCTCAAGTCGCACTAATCAACATCGAAGATCTTGGATGTCCACGTTTGGACGAAATATGTGATGATGAAACTCTACCTTGCTGTATTTTTCATATGGAATTTAATCCAAAACAATGTACATTCTATAAAGTATTTGCTATAAGGAAATGGTTTATAAATAATTCTTAAAAATATGATTGTACACATTTTATTTAATAAACATAATTATATTTTAATATTGTTTTTTTAATTTATATGTTAACATATTTATGTTAGCATTTACAAGGGTTTTAATTATACTAATATTATCATCCATCTACCTGAAACAGAAAAACATGGTTATAGCTTAAACAATTATACAGGAAAAAAATATTACAAGAAAACATTGTAAACTATCTTACATATCTAGCAAAAGCATACTGATACTGTATAGAGTATTTACAAATTATACAAAATAAAAATTATACATTTATATGGATATTTACAAAGTATACATTATAAAGGTGGTAAAATAAAAAAAAAATATTACAAGAAAAAACATTTTAAACTAACTTATATATCTAACAAAAGCATACTGATACGGTATATTTACATAGTATTTACAAATTATACAATATAAAAATAAAAATTATACATTTACATACAAAGTATACATTATAAAGGTGTTAATACTACAAATTTATACACTAATCTAATATTTTACAAAAATATTTACAAATTACACAATAATCTATTATCAAGTATTTAAATTATATAACAATTAATAGGATAATATTTACAAGTTATTTACAATAATCAATATATAACAAAACTATATACCAAAAAAATAAGTAAAGTTTCTGAAATAAAACTATTTAGTTGTGTAACAAAGAACCTCTTTCATAAACTCTTTATCCAGTTTACTCCATCGTCGTCCTCTGTCATCTACCTCATAGTCGAGTTCAGGCCATTCATCGTCAGGTTCATCTTCCCTATAAAATTAAGATAAAATGTTAGTATAATAATTTAAATATATATATATTTGTAATAACTTACTCTATACTATAATGTCCATGTGCTAGTGTATGTATTTTATCGTCTAACACCACCCTCTTATGATCATAGCTGTTATAAGTTAACTTGTTGGTCTTAATTGTCATTAGTTGGTGGTTAAACGACCGTATTGACACGTTTTCCCTATACAATTCTACTCCTTCTTCATCAAACAGACACTTCCTATGATCCTCAAGAGTCATGTGGTTTTTAACCACATGACCTCTTATCCCCTTCGCTTTGATTTTTTCACCACCAACTCTGTCTTCTGGTCCAGCATATACATTGAACGCGTATGACTTGGCTCTCAACGCAACAAACTCTGTAATAATATTAGAGTCCACCTCATCGGAAAAGAGTCCCGGCTCCTTCTTTCTATCTGCTATATAACATGGGTGGTCACGAGGCAGGTTAGCGGTGTCCATCCGGTCCAGTAAGCTACTGTTAACCTCCAAGTCTACATAAAAGTCATCGGTATAGACATGGTAAATCAGTGACTCTGGAAAAATAATGTTAAATTAATATATTATATACAGGAGAATAGTTTTAGTATATTTACCTGTGTCAGTGTACATCAATTTAATTTTGTCTCCATAATGTCTCTGCATAACATTATAGTGATAATCATACATTAGTGTTTTAGATATGTCCAGTACTGCAAATCCTGTAAATAATAAATGTGTTAATAAATGATAAAGTATAATTTAAAAAAGTATATTTACCAATATATATAGGTTTATCAAATTTAATAATTTTATTTTCAAGCGCTACAGCGTTCAGGTTCTCATTATAAGTAGTACAGTGTTTAAATGTACTCTTATTTATCAATTTCTGTAATCTCCTCTCACACGACACCAGCTCCATCTTCATCTCTTTCCTTTTAGACTGCATTGTTTTACCTGCAAAAATAAAATATCAGTAAAAATGTTTAATACATAGTATTTAGTGACTTACCAAATACAGCGTTATTCATCAGCTTGAAAAAATCTTTCTCAAAATCATTCCTAGCCCTCTTCCTCATCTCGGTATTTAACTCAATATATTTAGCCAGCCAATCTGACTGGTTAAACTGAATAACCCTATGAACCTGTAAAAATAAGAAAAAATGTTAAAAATCTGATTAAAACCATATAAAATACAAATATTTACTTTTTCAACTATCAGCCCATTCTTAATCGCCTGCTGTAGATTTCTGTAATGTATAACGTAATTCTTCTTCTTTTCGAACGTTGCCATCAACTTCCTTACCTTTGAACCACGCGGTACACTATTTTGCGGCAGGAAAGGCAGGTCGTTATGTTCGTTGTGTAGGTGTCGTGGGTACATCACGTCCACCTCATACACTCGTCCTATTGGTGATGTATCATCTAAATCATTTAACCCGTTTAATGTGGGTTCAACCCAGTTGAACCCACCGTACGGCATGTACTGGGACATTGCCCACCCATACAAGTTGTTACCTATTAAAAATAATAAGTAAGAAAAAAATTAACAAGTTTTGAAAAAAATATACTTACAGTCCTGATATATTATCCACGATTTCTCCTTCGTTTCGTCATACCCCGGGGTCTTTACATTGTTCGCCTTCGCGTACCTCTTACTTGCCTGCACTAGTCCTCCACGTATACCTATAAAAATAAATAAGATTATTATATATTCATTTTTAAAAAAAATAATAAACTGACCATTCTCGAACATCAACAACATGTCATAATCGTTCAGCAACTGTAGCTTTTGCCCCGTGAACTTAAGCATCGCAACGAAACTAAGTCCAGGGGCGGTGAAATAATGAGCGGCGTCCAGGTTATACGCCCTCATGCACACGTCGCGGAAGTTCTCAAAAACGTCCGCAACAACAGCACATCGATTTTGAGGTACAGATCGCTGTACTCGCCCAACATCGTACAGCCGAAGTGGTCCCAGACCTCCTTCGCGTGGTCAAACTCTTTCTCCTTAATCCCGGTCTCTGTCAATGTACTATAAAATTCTCTCTTCCTCGGTAACCTCGTCTCCTCCAGCCGCTCCCAACTATCCGTGTACTCGTACGGGTACACCCCCTTACGAGTCACGAGCGGCATATCTCCGGCGACAAAATGTTTGGCTGTCTCACGGAAGTTCTCATGTTCGGGTGTAACTAAATTTTCGGCCAGGGACGACAGACTCGACGCCATAAACCTGAACGTGTCGATAAACCGAACAGTGAAGGTACTACTTATATATTTCGAGAAAGATATAAATTTCTCCTCACTGTTCGGTATAACGTTGATCGCCTGTGTATCATACCCAAGTTCAGTGATTATGAAGTGCGAGTCGTAGTTTGAGAGATTATGAAAAAATACGGGGACAAATTTAGGTTGTTGCAACTCTAAGTTACACCTAGAGCACAAGGTCTGTCTAAATTTGCCCGTGAGATGGTCATGATCCCTAACCTTATCGCCCCCGACTAATATGCATTTGCATAAGTTACACTCTATACACTCTTGATGTGTTTTTTCTTCGTCCTCGCTTATGATTATGGGGGTATTCGTCTTCATCAGATTTTCGATTTTCAGGGCCACATCAACAATCGACTCCACAAAATGTTTCGCCCTGTCTTCGCTGCCTCTATAGATTACCGGCTCCGCCGGTATCTCGTACTCCGCCAATAATTCCGCCGGTACGTCATCGCTCGCCTTCACTAAAAACCCATAGCTCATAGCTTCGTGTTTCTGCATAACTGTGGTACTATCGCCCCTCTTTTCCTCCGTCTTTACCAGCAATGACTCAAAATCTGCGTATATAACAAACGGGTGCCTAACCGTTTTTTTCCACGCCCTGAACTCAACACAATCACCCTCCTTCGGCATCTCGGGTAAAATTGGTTTGTGCGCCTCGCAAATCAATTTGTGTTGGTCCAGGGCCTCCTGTCCGCTCAGCTTGTATTTACAATTTTGTTTGTCGAATGACGTGAAGCACCTTTTACAAAAAACGACACTCCCGTCATGTCTCGTTTTCTGCGCACGTACGAGCCGGGAAAAATTTGAGATATAAGTATAATGTATATTGTCGCCGTCCGTCACCAATAGCAGGTCGAAGTGGTCTGATTTCTCCTCGTCAACCACACGTAACGGATACACCTCGTACGTTGGATATTTACGCGGTGGCTGGAACTTTTTCTCTACTCCATAGACGTTAATGGACACGTTGATATTATTTTTTTCGAATTTGGAGATATCCGATAAAGGTGTAGGGAACGAAATACCGTCAAAATTATATTTCCCCTCGTGTTTTTTATAATTTTCTCCGATACGAAATGCCGACGGCCCCGTAACATGTCTCGCCAATATTGCCCACTTAAAGCACTGCTGGTCCGTATTTTGTGGGTTTATAGTACCCCGCTTCCTATCGATATACGCCGGTAATTCAATATATGACGACCCAGTCATTGGTGTGTAATTGTATATTCCTAATAATAAGCCGTCTATTGTCTCCAGAGTAAATCCACTACCGCGCGACTTATACTCCTCCTCCTCCTTCAACAACTTTATATACGCCCTCTCAATGATCGTACTAATGTCACTATCTGAGAAAATTTCTACTGCCACTGTCTTAAATGCCCGGTTCTCCGACGAATTGGGGACGTTGGGCCGGTTGTACGTTGCCTCGAGTTTCAAATTAAATTTTATTGGCCCTTGTTGAACTCTGGTCTTTAATAAATTTTCAATCTCGGGCATGAGGGGTCGAAGAAAGTCGGAATAAATCGTTGTATTGCCTATATTTTTTGCATAGTACCATACGATTTTACGGCTCGCAGACGACAAAATTTCTACGAACCCGGGGACCTTCACCATATCCATACGCGTCTTTTTTGCCCTAGCAGCTGAGGTGGTGTTGGCAGTCGAAACACGTTTCCCGTTGACGGTAACGGTGTAAGAATCTTTAAAAAAAACCTAATATTAATATCTAATGAAAATAATAAATTGACTAATCTAATAAAAATCTAATTATCCTCACGAATCTTAAAAAATCTACTGATATAACAAATGTTGACATATAATAAAATCACGCGATGAAAAAATTAAATCTACCAAACGATCTGACAACCGGTGCAATGCCGGAATACTCCAACTATTACCCCATAGGATGCGACGTGTGAATTGATCGATATAATGCCGGAATACTCCAACTATTATACCATTGATCGCTTCACAGACCACTTGATAAGTTTAAAATAAAAAATATATAATTTATATTTAAAATGTGTTGTACGATAATTTGTTGAATTTTAAAAATCTATTTAACGACAATTATTTTTAAAAATCTAATTGGTCGAGCAATAATACTTGTCGGTATATCTTTTTAAAAATGATCCGTTAAAATCAGCGGGTCTTTTAAAAATCTAATTCTTATAAATAAAACTAACCTGTATCCTCAAATTCATCCATTGCTTTCATACATATTTCGTCTTCGGTTAACATGTTGGAGCCACCGGCCGGGGCATCAGGTACAAATATTTGCGGCGCAATCTGGACCTGTTGAGCTGGAGCTGGTTGAGTGGTGATCGGGGCAGCAGGTATAGGCCTCAAGTGAGCCGGAACGTTTACGATACCTTAGGAAAAATAATATAAATTAATATTGTATAAGATAGAAATAAAACTTTATATTATTAATACATACCATGAATGTTCTTCAGATGTTTGTTGAGGTTGTTTTTGTATGAGAATGTCGATGGGCAAGCAGTGCACGGGAAACGTATGCCCGCATGAGTTTTTTCATGTCTAATCAAATTACGTTTTGCGGTGAAAACCGACGGACACTGTTCGCATTTAAACATGATTAAAATGTTTGAAATAAAAACGAGATGAAAAATAATATAGTGTTTAAAACACTTGCAAAAATTAAACACTTGAAAAAATTGTAAAAACTGTTGAGTAAGGACTGTGAAAACACGGAGAGAGCAAAGGCAAAGTGCGCGTAAAGGTATGGGTGTCTGGAACAGACTGACTATGTCTTGGCGGACAACGGAGCGAGTGTCCAGAAATCTCGACATTTTTGGTGAGGGTAGCATTTCAAGCCGCGGGTTACCAAAATATTAATCGGGTATTTACTATGATAAATGTGTAAATCACTAGTTATTACCAATTATTTTAGGAACCATCGTTTATCAGTAAAAACAGGTCGTTCCGCCGACAATAGAACGTTTACTATCAATACGTGAAGGGGAGAAATGTAATCGAATGACCGTATCATCCTTGGTCTGCACTGAGGTATTACAAAAGATTCTTTCACCCTTGACAGGGGGAGTAAATAAATTACAGTTGACCAGTCTGACTATACGAAAAATATTATGTAGGTCATACGACTGTAACACGATATACACTTGTATGTTGCGACTCAAATGGAATTAGATGCAATGTAAGTTTAATATTTCCAGGGATGTTTATCCTTGGAAGGGGAGAAATGTAATCGAATGACCGTATCATCCTTGGTCTGCACTGAGGTATTACAAAAGATTCTTTCACCCTTGACAGAGGGGGAGTAAATAAATTACAGTTGACCAGTCTGACTATACGAATAATATTATGTAGGTCATACGATTGTAACACGATATACACTTGTATGTTAAAATGTTTCGTTTACTTTTTATGTATTTTTTTATAAACGCTCGGAGGGGACATAAAAAGAATAATGATAATCAGTTCGAAATGGCGACTCAAATGGAATTAGATGCAATGTAAGTTTAATATTATTATTATTATTATTATTATTATTGTTATTAATTCGACTTATTTAATGTTTAGTATCAGAGTGCAACCACAACCTCCACCAACTGCTGACTTAGATGGCGTATGGCATCTTATAGACGAAATACTCAGGGACGTAAGGTAAACAACTTTAACATTATTTACCTATATTTCTTTTTTTAATTTAATATTTATGTTTAGTCGAGACGAGCAAGTGTCACCACCAATCATAAATATGGCTGATCTCTATGCTTATGAAGAGTTAGCAGATACCGATGATGATGAGATACATGGTGATGACGACATGACAGACGCCGAAATGTCTGATACAGAAACGGAATCGTCAGATGAAACAATGTCCGAGGTTTATTCACCGCATATAACGGATGACGAATTTGCAGATAACGAAATGAAATCGTCAGATACCGATGATACCATGCTTGATTCACCGTTTATATAAGATGACGTATTGTATATAAACCTTTATAATTGTGAATTTTTATTTTACAAATATAAATAACAAGTTTTAGTATATTATGTACTGTATTCAATTTTACTACATATTTCATCTAAAGCTTTATAATCATCATCAGTGTAATCTTCACCCCATATAAATTTGTCCATTGCTTCGGAACATATTGCGTCAATGGCTTCCGCATCTTCACCACCCCATGCATCAATTTGGTTTTCTATAATGGTAAATATATTGTGTACTTAATGCATAAAAACAATAATAAAATGAACGTACCATTTGTTGGTTGGTTATTTTGTTCATCGCCAAAAGATATGTTTTCTTCTTGGCTTAGTAATGTACTATAAAAGACACGTCTTGGTGTATTTGATAGCTATAATATGTATTAACTGTATTATTTTTAATTATAATATGAAAATAACTTAACTTACCATTTCATCAAACTCGCCATTCGCTAAGAAATCAACGAATCCTGCAGATATATCTGGTGTATTTATTGTAGACACTTGGCTGCTGTTACACGACATTTTAAAATACTTTACACACTACGTATGACTTGGTGAAAAATCGGGTGAAGACTAATGATGCGTGAAAGGGTGGCTGTGGTCATTCAACGGTGACCTTGCAGGTTAACCGTGTAATCTGTGTGTGTGTGTGTGTTTTTTGTTTGCGATATACACGAATATTTTTTAAATAATTTAACCATATTTAATTATTAATAGATTATTTATCAATGTGATAACGGTAATATGATAACGCATTATAATTATTTATCAATGTGATAGTGGTAATATGATAACGCATTAATAGATAAAAACAATGTGATAAGGATAGGTGGTGGAGGGTACGGTCGGGGGTGGGCAGTGTCAGCAGCGGTCTGCCGGGTGGCGGGTAGTGGAGGGGCGTAGGCCGGTGGGTAGGGTGTCAGTGGTGCCGGTGGGTGGTGTGTGGCGGGTGGCGGGATTTATACAAAGGGGTAGGGGAGCAAGACGGGGCGGGGTAAAATATACGTCGCGCACGTGCGCGATCGGACGGCGGCGATGACGAGGATGAGCAATGGGCGGCGGGTTTGGGTGGTGAGGTGGGGTGGGGTAAAATATACGTCACGAACGTAAGCGGTGGGTGGGGGAGGGGTAAAATGTACGTCGCGTACGTGCGCGATCGGACGGTGGCGGTGGTGGTGGAGGATGAGCGGATGAGCGGATGAGTGATGAGCAAGGATGAGCGGATGGGCCTTCTGAACTGTCTTTTTCATCCTACTTACCATTCGTTTGTAGCCGGTTTGTATTGGTTTGTAATCAATTTTTTTTCGTTTGTAGAGATTTGGTTTTTTTTTTAATAATAAATTTTGGTGGGGGGGGGGGCTGGGGAAATGCCCTAAAATGGAATTTTCATTTTTTTTTTTACCATTCGTTTATAGCCGGTTTGTAGTGGTTTGTAATCAATTTTTTTTTGTTTGTAGAGATTTAGTTTTTTTTTAAAAAATAAATTTTGGTAGGGGGCTGGGGAAATGCCCTAAATTGGATTTTTTATCTACTATAAAGCGTATTGCAGAAGGTTAAATAATATTTGGGAAATATATGATGATTTGGCAGTAAAATCAATTACAGTTAAGTCTGAAGCAATTGTACCGTGTGAATATATCTACTATACTATATAAATAACATGAAGACAAATTATTAACCATTTTATAGCGTTTATTTTATTAATTTTACTATAAAAAGTTGTAAATTAAAAAAAACCAAATTAAAAATGAGTATTAACTATTTACTATTTGCTATTATTTAGTAAATAATATAAATTATTGCTTTTCAGTTTTCAGCCTTTGAAAATATAATAATAACTATTAGTATAATATTAAAAATATATAATAAAGGTAACATACTTTGTATATTCTTTTCAGTATTTGAAAATTATATAAAAATTTAAGAACTAAATTAACAAATGAAAATTTTAATCAACTTTAAATTATTAATAATTATTATTTATTTACAACCAAACGATGATTTATTTTGTTACATATTATATCTATAAATCATCGATAGACAGCATTCAAAAAATAATTAATTAGCGACTACAATTACAATGAATAAATTACATTACAAACCAATAAGAAACGGATAAAAAGAAACGTTAATAAGAAACCGAATGTAAAAAGCCTAGTTAAATAAAAAATCTAAATTGGATGATGTTTATTTTATTTTTCAACATCAATTTTTTACCCAATTTAGTTTTTTATTCAACAAGACTTTTTATGCAACGAAAACATTTTCTGTTGGACAAATATTCTCCTTCTACCTCACAGCGAGTACAAGAAAAAAAACCTGAATGGCCTTTTATTTGAAGCACAAATGACTTAGCAGTTAGCAGGAACATCATAGCACAATGTGTAAACGGAGAAATTATATGTTTTATTTTTAATACAAATCCCGTTCTGACACAAAACTTTTGCTTCATCAACAAACAATTTCATGAAATCATTACCTACTACTGGCAAGTTTTTTTCTTCCACAGTAAATCCCAATTGGAAATACATTAGTACTATCAGGACGAATATAGGCTAAAATGGGCCACAATTGTTCAGGATTACTTTTATACAATGGTAACCCATAAATTCCTACAATTATTTCAATTGTATTAACATCTTGACCAGACTTAGTAAAATTTTGTTCAATTCCTTTTAAAATTCCAAAATGATAATATTTTCCTGGTACAACTGTTTGAATTTCTGAAGGCTTTTCAATATTTTTGAACATTATGGTTCTAGAATCTTAAGGTAGAACTTCAAAACATTTATGTTTTTTTGTAAAGTCGATAGTTTATTTAGAGCTATCTGCGGGATATTACAGTTAATGGCCCAATTCATAATCAAAAAATTAAAATGAGATAGATTATCAATATGGTTATCATAATTTTCATCTGTCTCACAAGAAGATACTTCATCACTAGAATAGTACAATTCTTCATCCTCGTTTGTATTAATATGTCTATATGTCTATATGTCTAAGATTAATATCATTGGATTTAGATTGAGACATGATACTGGGCACAGAATAATCAATATTTGAAAAACTAGATTCAACTAGAGTAGGTCCAATATTTTCAGTATTATATTCTTTAGAGCTACATCAAACAGTACTACTTTTTAGTTCTTCCTCTACTTTTCTTAGTTTTGTTATTTTACTCAGATTAGTATTTTTATGAAAGGAAGCCTTTATTTCTGAAATTAAAATATTGTTTTATACTTTTATAATTGACTTGAGTATAAAAGAAAAATTAAAATATCAAAATAAATTTATTTATGTTATAAGAAAATAATATATGTAAAATATTATATAGGAAGGCACATTTGTAGAATATACCTATTAATAATGTAATTGAAAAGTGATATCTATAGGGTTGGGTAGTTGGCTCATGGTAAAATATGTCATAAAAAAAGTATTATGAGTACCTATAATAGTAACGGGTAATAATTAACATGGGTAAATATATATTAATCTAATTAATAGGTATATCTGTCATACAATATTTTATAAGAAACCCTGTTGTAAATTTTAATTATTATTATTCGACAGTCGTGTACATTAATGTATGACTATTAGTTTGATAAATATTATA